TTTAACTCATGTGGCCTAATCTAAGGTGCCACTTTTCTGTATTGGACAAGTTAGTAGAAGTAATCACAGAATTAAAATAGTTTTGGAAATGGTTCCCACAAAGAATATAAAGGCCATTTCTTTTCTCTCCTTTCAGTATCAGGTTGTTATCTCTATATATGTTCAAGCATCCATGTTCTACTTTGTAACAACATCCTGATTCATCTAAGGTGCCAAGGGATATCAAAAATTTTTTAAGTTCTGGTATGTATCTAACCCTAGTTAGTTTTACCACTTTTCCAGTGTTAGCCCTTAGAGTCACTGTGCCTATCCCTCTTACTCTACATGCATTATTGTTTCCCATGTAAACAGTTTCATTTTCAACATTTTCAAATTCCTGGAACCAGTCTCTCCTAGGACTCATGTGAAAAGAACAGCGTGAGTCCAACACCTACTCTTCACCAGTGTCATTCATTGACACAGTAAGTACTTCAGGTTCCTCTACCAGGTTTCTAGTAGTGGCTAGGTTATTCTCAGTATTCCCTTGTTTTTGTTTTTTAATCCACTCAAAACAATTCTTTTTAATATGCCCAATTTTATTACAAAAGAAGCATTTTCTAGAATCTCTTCTATGCTTGTTATTGCCTTTCCATTTTTTCTTATTTCTAGCCCCCTGATTATTCTGATTTCCTTTGCCAGTTTGACTAGGTTCTGGTCTACTCTTAACAAACAGATTTGTGCCATTCCGTTTCTGGGTTTTCAATTCTAATTCTCTAGCCCTAAGTCTTGCTGTTAGTAGGTCAAAATTTGGTACAGTACCCGAATACTGTAGGGCATTCTTGACTACCTGGTAGTCATCAGTCAGGGAATTCAATAGAATCATGGCTAGGCTGGTTTCTCCTAAAACTTGATCTGTCCCTTTTAGGACCAAGGTCATTTTCAGAAACTTGTCTAGGTTTTCATCTATACTCTTAACACTATCCATTTTATAAGAGAATAAAGCCCCCTTTAAAAAAGCTAGGTTGGGGGCAGATTGCAAAGCATACAAAGTAGTGAGTTTACCCTAGAGTTCAATCGGTGATTCAATTCCATCTACCTTCCGGAGGACGCTGTCGGACAGATTCATTATTATCAGATTGTACGCCTTTTCATTGATCTCCTCTGGCCATTTTTCGGAGTCCTCTTCCAGTGCGATGGCAACCTTGTTGTGAGAAAGCAATGATTTCATCTGTTTCTTCCAACTCCCAAAATTGATCTTCCCATCATATTGGGAGATCTCCATACGAGCGGTAATCATTACAATATAATGATAATAAAGAAAACAATAAAGAACCTAAGAAGGTACGTGGCGTTGTTACACCAAAATTTGCCAATTACTGCTAAGCAGTTTTTAAGGCAGTTATTGGTTTCCAGCCTATATACCTTTAGAATTTAGCCAAGATTTGACTCTCTAGATCCTATTGGAGACTAGAAGGAATCACAGTTCCGAAAAGCCCCAATTTCCAAAAACCCTAATTTCACGAAACCCTAATTTCGTAACAAAAGAACCCTAATCTCCAAGAAATGGCTTTGATACCACTGTTATAACCACTCACAGAAAGAATCAACCAAGTAACAAAAGATCAAAAACAAGAAACACAAAACACACACAAGAATAACTAGATTTACCGTGGTTCACTTGCTCTATATTTGAGCAAGCTACGTCCACGTTGAACTCGGGAATCACACGAGCTCGCTGCACTAAATCACTGTCAAGATTACAGATTACACACAGCAACATAAATCCCTCAAAAACCCCTTCTTCAACCTGTAACTCACCCTAGAGATTACACCCTTCGAATCCCTATAAACAGCGTATATAATACACCCATAATGACCTGACCCAGTCACTCAATCAACAAGTTACAAGATTCACTCAACCCAGATTGAAACCCTAAAAGACTCAAGATGGTGTTTAACGAAGAAGAGAGAGATTTGCACAAAAACATAATGCGTAAAATGCCAAAATAACTTTGCATTTATATGGTTGACATTAGGGTTAAATTCCAGCCGTTAGATCTTCTTTTCATCAATGCTCAAGATTGTTTCTTCAGTTTGAATCAAAACGACGTCGTTCCATTTAAGTTCTAATACAACAGCATTTCAAGCCATCATCCAATAGTTTCTCAGGATATTTTTAGTGCTGGAAGTGAGAAATCATCAACGGCTTTACAGTGGGCAATGCTAGAATTGTTAAGAAACCCAAGGGTAATGAAAGAGGCACAAGCTGAAGTAAGACGAGTCTTTGATGGAAAAGGATATATTGATGAAAATGGCATTCAGGAATTGAAGTACTTGAAATCAGTGATCAAAGAAACCATGAGGCTGCATGCTCCAGTACCTCTTTTACTTCCAAGGGAATGCAGAGAGAGTTGTGAAATCAACGGGTACACGATTCCTGAAAAGACTAGAGTGGTTGTTAACGGATGGGCAATTGGAAGAGATCCTGGATATTGGAATGACGCTGAGACATTTTATCCTGAGAGATTTCTTGGCAGTTCAATTGATTTCGGGGGGGCAGATTTCGAATACATTCAATTTAGAGCTGGAAGGAGAATCTGTCCAGGCTTAACGTTTGCACTACCAAATATTGAGTTGCCACTCGCACAACTTCTATACCATTTTGATTGGAAGCTCCCAAATAGGATGAATCCTAAAGATCTAGACATGGCTGAGGTCTTTGGTGTAACTTTAGGCAGGAAAACAGACTTGATGCTGATTCCTATTCCTTATTGTTCTTAATCTTAATCTCCCAACAACATATAGATCTCGTGAGATTATGATCGATGTACGTGTAGATGTGTAGTGTGTAAAATGGTTAAGCTTGTTAAACTTGTTTGCTTCAAATAAGTAATGTCAAGGGTCAAGGGAAATAAATTAAAATGCTTTAGAGTACAGTTTTCGGGGCTATTTGTTGTTTAATATTGTTAAATAATTTGTTCAGATTGACAGAAATTGATAGGTTAAATACAATACTATAGTGCTTTCACTTCAAAAATAGAATTGCTTTATTGATTAAAGCATTTGATTCCAAAGCAGATTACAGTAACAAAAGAAACTGGAATTTACCCTGAGATTGTATTCTGCAACAAGTTGTGCAAAAGACGATGACTTGTTTTCGAGCAACTTTGTCTAGAGAATCATATTCCTCAACAAGTCCTATGCCAAGATATTGAAAAATAATTATTGTTACCGTGACAATAACACAACCAATAAAAGAATATCCAGATTCTGGACTATAGAAACCGTAATTAAGAAGAAGAACCATATCACTATCAAGAACAGAAGTTATCCTATGTCAATGGTTATGACTGTGCAGTCAGTGAAGTGTTGTCGAAAAGTTAGTTGAATCTGATTATCAGTAGCAGTATCGACGGATGCAGTAGCTTCATCAAGCACCGAGACTTTACTTTTCTTAAGTGGCACATGCTCGGGGCACACCAACTACCTCTGTCCCATACTTTAATTCTCTCCATTCTCAGTAACTACAAAAACCATATGAACTTATGCAATTAAATTCTGCGCCATTATCAAGTTCGAACAATTTTACAACTTGTATGATAGAATAAAAGAAAAGACAACTCTGAAATCTAGCTTCCCTTCCTTCTTTCTAACTTCATTTCCAAGCTGGCACTTATGCAAAGCCTAAAACCAATTTAGATAGATATTAGCAAAGTCACAACATTGAATGTTGGATCTAGGAAGAAGCTTATCAAAAAACTGATATCTACAAACAAATTTAAATAGACTCACCTCCCAAATTGCCATCTGTGTATTCTTCAAGAGGTTACAGGTTGCTTAGTACAGTCCCAAATGTCAAAATATATTGACTAGAGAATTATTATATATATTAGTTTGGTGTGATGTTGCAATAGCCATAATTCATATGATAATTAAATTCCTTGGTTTACTAACACCAACTTTACCATAGAGAAAGATGCATCAGCATGTGTAGGCCTAGGGATGTATACGAGCCGAGTCGAGTCGAGTGTCTCGGTACTTGAGCTCGGTTCGTGAGGAACAGTACCGAGCTCGAGCTCGAGCTAGACCTTAATCGAGCTTCAGTACTCAAGCTTGAGCTCGAGCTTGCGAGTGTGAAGGAGTACTCGAGCTCGAACGAGCTCGAGACAGACTGCAATTGTAATTTTAAATCTTCCTGTAGTTCCAGCTTCGACTTCCACCTATCTACATACAATTCTACATACAATTTTACATACAATACAATATCCCACTTATAAATCTGTCTGAGAAACCTAATTCAAGCAAATTTCGTCGACATTGTACTTAGATAAATGCAAATTTTGCCCATAATTCAACACAATCTTTAATTTCCAACACCAACAATCTTCCAAAACATAAAATGAAATGACAAGTTTAAAATCTTCCAAAACATAAAATGAAATGACAAGTTTAAAGTTGTTGGATGAAATACGCATTACAATTGTACAAACACATGAAGCTATATACAAACCAAAAGTACACTCCATGAAGCTATGTACAAACTAAAAGTACACTCCATGAAGCCATGTGCCTATGTCCAAAGTCCAAACACATGAAGCTATATAAAAACACAAAAGTATACTCCATGAAGCTATATACAAAGACAAAAGAGCAAAAAACTAATTCAAGAAATATAGACTTTGTGACAGCAAAATCCGAGTAGACCAGGAGAGAAAAACCCAAAGCCACCCAAAGCAGAAGAAAGGCACAAAGCCACCCAAAGCCAGGCCTCCTACGCTCCCACCTGCAAAGTGTAAATACAAAGGAAGCAAATAATTTGCAAGTCAAATGTTTGCAATTCATCATTCACCAATCAAAATCAACACAGCAATCACCATTCCCCAAATCAAAATCAACACAGCAATACTAAATAATCTCAATATCTATATTGAATAACCAGGTTTTCTGCGTAGAAATTAAAAAAACTACAAAAGGGCTATATATTTACAAACCTGTGAATATATGTTTGAGGGTCAAACAATCTACTCAATCCCTTCAACTGAAGAGATAGGAAGGGTAATCTCCAGTGGTTCCTCATCCGACTAAAACATATATAAGAAAAAATCAGAAAGTTTAACGTTAGAGTAAAAGAAAATAATATTCAAAATAAACAAGACATAAAAACAGTAATAATTTATTTGTTAATTGAACTTACTTCATCCATCTTCATTAGTCCTAGCTGACTGCGACACCAATCACCTCCACATAGTAGTGCTTGCACTATGTCCAGAGATAGTCGAGATCGATAATTGTCAATAACTCTACTTCTCGCACTAAAGGTAGCCTCTGAAGCCACCGTGCTAATAGGAATGGCAAGTATATCATGAGCCACCTTGCATAACACTGGATATTTCAAACTATTTGCTTGCCACCACTTTAAGGCATCAAACGCCTCATAATCCACTTGACACTTATAACATGGCTCTTCAAAATAGGAATCTAACTCTGATTTTTCCGGGGCAACAGTTTCAATCACGTCCACATAGTTCATTAAATCCAACCAACCAGAAGAGTCATCATCTACATTCGTCCCACTACTACTCCCACTCCCACTCCCACTCCCACTCCCCTTCCCCCTACCCTGTCTAGTTGCAGACATATGTTGATTAGTAGATGATTGACTAGCGGCCACATATTCCTTGTACAACTCGTACAAGGCATCCCAAACTATTGTAGAATGAACCCGTGCGTCAAGATCATCATAAATCTTAGGGAAAGCATAGTCCAACACTCTCATTTTGCACCTAGGGTCCAAAACAACAGCTATAGCTATCAACAAATTGCACTCCCCCCAATATTTATCAAATTTCCCTTTCATCTTCATCACCATGGTCCTCAAAAATTCATTTTCATCCTCAGCATGTTTATCCAACAAAACCTTCACCTTACAAAGCTCGGCAAGAAATTTATTTGATGTTGGATATTCAAACCCTAAAATGATGCTAGTGGTAACATTGAAAACCTTCAAAATTTCACAAACTTTCTGTATCTTATCCCAATCTTCCTCAAGGGGACAAGAAGTGAAATGCCGGTCTCTTTCAAAGTATCTTGGAAACACGCTTTGGAATTTTAGTGCAGTTGCCAACATCTCATAAGTTGAGTTCCACCTCGTTTTACAATCCAATATCAACTTTTTGTGAGGCAACTGCAATTTTTGCACAATTTCTGAAAAGATTTGTAGTCTACTCTTCGATTGATTGATGTAGTAGACACCATCACGGACGTATTTGATACTGTGCCTAATCTGACTAAGACCATCTTGCACCATTATGTTTAATATGTGGGCGCAACACCTAACATGAAACAACTTTCCCCCGCAAAGAAGCTTCTTGGTTATAGAAAAGTTTTCCTTTAGAACCTTGATTGCCAAGTCATTACTAGATGCATTATCAACTGATATCGTGAAGACTTTGTTCTCAATTCCCCATTACCGCAAACAGTTAAATACGCTATCCGCAATCTGGACACCACCGCGAGGAGGATTTAAACGAACAAAACTGAGCACACGTTTGTTCAACCTCCAATTAGTATCTATCCAATGCCCCGTCAAAACCATGTACTCAAGTTTCTGATTACTTGAATTCCACAGATCAGTAGTCAAACTAATTCTATCAATATTCTTCAAAACAGCCTTCAACTTCTTCTTTTCCATTTCATACACCTTTATACAATCATTTTTACTTGTGAAGCATGATATTTTTTCCCAACCAGGACTCGCATATCTTAGCAAATTATTAAAACCCGTTTGCTCGACAACTTTGAATGGGTGCTCATGCATAAGCACCCATTGCGCTACTAGTTCCCTCATCCGAGCCATCTCAAACTTCCCACCTATAAGAGGAGGCAGCCCACTACCTACTGCCATTGCATCCGCAACCGGAAAGTTCAACTGTTGTTGTTGATTACTGAAAACCCTTCGCCTTAGACACCCCTTCAAATGTCTAGAAAATTGAGTTGTGCTTCCAGTTGCATTAATAGACAATTTGGCCTTACAATGGATGCATTCTGCCTTCTTCGTATTATCGGGTTGAAGAACCTCTCTAAATTCTGCCCATACAGGAGATGTCTTCACTCTTTTCTTCCTTTGGAATGGGTTATCAACATCATCATTTTCTTCTTCTACAACTGGACTATTACCACAAGTTGCAGTTGCACTTGCACTTACAGTTGGATCCCGATTACTTCCTGGTGTTTGAACTGGTGAACTTGAGTCAATCAATGTGGGTCGGCTACTAGATGAGCCTTCCATACTTGATACCTATAATGGAAGAAAGAATAAAACTTATCTACTAATTTTGAAGATTAAAGTACAAGAATAATTGCATATTTTGGATAAGTAAACAAATGTGTAATAAGAGACTAAAACTATTCTGCATTGCACATCTCCATGTTGATTCAAACACTGTTTTTAGAGTTAAAATTTCTTTAAAAAGGAAGAAAACTACTTTTTTTCTGGTTTGCTGATTTTATATTAGGTTTAAGGATTGTATAAAAAGATGGCATTTCGACCAAATACATTTACATAAATTTTCTTTATATGTTGTTTTCAGAAACAAGGAATTCTGTGTAAATTTTTTATCCAATCTCAAGTTTTTAAATTACTTCACGTGGTATCAAAGCAAAATCTTAATTACATTCGTTTGGATCTTGATTATTTGTATGTTTCCTTACACTATGTAGTAATTACATTTTGTTATATTTTATATATTGGCAGTGGGTGGTCTTATGGGCTATTTGAAAAACGGCAGCCAGAAGTCACTCTTGGCAGGAGGAGTGTCGGCCTGGCTGCTATATTATGTTTATACAGAGCTTCCCACAAAACCAGTTCTTGCTTCAACTATACTAGTCTTAAGGTGTATTTGTTTGACAATTCTGAGGACTATACCAGTTCTTGCTTCAACTATACTAGTCTTAATATTAGCACCTATTATTTTACAGCAGGTGTCAACATTAATGAATTCCATTTCATATTTTCTAACTTTTTCAAAATAATCTGGCTCCACTTTTGATGTTATACATTACGTATCTTATTAGAAAAAATTGTTGATTAATAGTTGCCTTAATTAGAAATTAGAAAAATTGTATATTGGTAACCTTACCACTAGTTCACTTGTATCAAAAGCTTGCACTTCAACATAGCTACTATAGGACAATCACTAAAAAGCCATCATTAAGATAAATATCAGAGTACTAACTACATTCAGAGGCTGCATCTTTTCAGAAACTACATTTTTTGAGCCCCAAGTTCAATAACAAACAACCTAAGGAGTCTTTGTTAAACCTAATCCAGAAACATTGTATGGACTATCATCGGGCTCCAAATTACCTTCTATCCAGAAATTTAACACAATGTCAAACCCTAAAAGTAGAGTACAATGTTGAATCATGATTTAGAAATTCGTAGCCTCTGATATATACCAGCTAATCCAATATACATTTGCATCTAAATGTTTGTTGTAGACATAAAGATGAAACAAGAGAAGATAACTCACAAACTAACAGAGCAAATTTCTTACCTGGAAGGCTGGATTGCTGGAACAAAACACTGGTCTGCACTCTACAGAGAACAGAGATGACACTGACTCGATGACAGCGAATGACACCGGCGAAGTTGTCCACGACGACGGCGTGACTCGTGAGTCGTGAGTGACTGATTTACGGCGAATGGCAGTGGAGATTTAGGACTTAGGGTTGATGAAAAATCGCGACTGTGTTTTACTTTTTCAGTTTTTGTTTCAGCTTTGATTGAAAAATTGCAAATGGGTTTTACTTCTGCGTTTTTGTCTATATGGGAGCTATTTGCAATTTTAACAACTTAAAAATTAAAAAAGTTTTAAAATCTTGCAAATTACCCCCTGAGCTTGTTTAAGCTCGTGAATAGTGACGAGCCGAGCTCGGCCCGAATCGAACTCGGCTCGTCACTATTCACGAGCTGCTCGAGCTCGAGCTCGACTAGCCTGATTTCGAGCCGAGCTCGAGTAGCTCGCGAGCTACTCGGCTGGCGGCTCATCCCTAATCATCACTGCTAGCTTACTTAAGCTTGGAGATTGTTTCACAGGTATCCAATTTCTATAAAGATTCTTTGAAAATTGTATGGGAAATTTCATCTTTTGACCTCTTCTCATCTATAAGATCTAACTTTTACAATTATCTTCATTACAGAAAAAAAAAAAGGATGATTTATTGGCAATGATAAAAAGCACTTAATTTAATTTGATGAAAGTCGAAACATGTCATGTGGTAGACATGTGCACTGTTGTTGGTACGTTAATAATTAAAACCATGCCACAAAAATACTATAATTTATTTATTTAATTAATTAGTTTAGAAAATCTGTAAAGCTTATAATTAAGATTTGGTTTAGGAAATTAGGCTGGCAACCAACTCAATTGTAAGTTTGGTTTGCAATAAGCAGCAAATTTTGTATTGTCATTTTAATAACTTTTCAAGCAATCCCAATGGATATTTTGTTTATTAAACAAGATTTTGTTATGTCATTTCTTGCACACACAACAATTAATTAATATTTAAGACTTCAGAATCCATTAATTAATATTCAAGACTTCAGAATTTACTGTATATACAATTATACAATATATACTAACAACAATATTTATCTTCCCACGTTTTAATCTAATGGTGAATGTGTTAAGCCTATATTAATTTATAATTCTTTCATATATTATACAACACAATGCTTTCAACGGATTCTTTTAATGAATATTGTCATAAAAATTATTAAACATGTTCATGGGTTTTAAATATTTTTATAGAATTTTTTTTTTTTTTTTTAATAATTTCATATCAGAGAAGTTTTTGATAACCTAAGAGAAATTATTTTATAATTTATTAAGAAGTATATAATTTTTTTTTTTTTTATAATTGTAGATGTGTTTAGGTTTAATCGATTTCACAACATAATTAAAATAAACCCCAAAAGTTACTACAAGACCTTATAACCAGTGATGAAATGGATTATAGGTTTGTTGGTTTGGATTAATAAATAAATCTCTCTAATAGATGAATGAACAACTAAATGAAAGAATGGCAAAGTTTGAGATTGATTCAGAATAACATATAGAAAATAAAGGTTTATTTTAGAAATAGACATGGTTTGTTTAAGCATATAGATAAGTATATCATTTTTAAGATGGTGTTTTTAATATTTAAAAATGGGTAATAAGATTTTATATGGGGTGTAAATAACTTACTTTTCAAAAAATAAATAAATTGATTAAAATATATTATAAATTAAAATTCTAAAGTAATCTTACTTTAAATTTTGAAAGATTGCTTATGAAAATTCTAAAGTAATCTTTTATATATATAAAAATATGATTTGAATTGTTGGATTTGGATTTAGGTTGTGAATTTTGAACCTTTTACTAATGATCTCAAAAAAAATTATTTCATTTTATTTTTCTTATTGTTGTTAATTTGAGCAAGGTTGGAATATATATATTCTTGAAATTACAAGAAAAAATAGAAAAAAAATGATCAAAAATAAATTTGTTTCGTCGTCAAAGTGAATCATTAAAGCTATCACATGTAGTGTGGGAAGGAAATTTCTACTCTCTTTTCCATTTTTTGTAAGCATTTGAGGAAGTCCACATGCAATGATGTTAGATCAATGAGAAATTAATTCACAACTTCATATTCATAATCATTTATGAATTATAATTATGGGTTTATTTTATTGATTTTTAATTAGTTCAAAGATACAAAAATCCTTTTAAGTTTAGCAATTATCACGAAGTTGCTGAGTTTGTAGATTGTTAGTTTAAATTCATCTCTGGAAAAAAAAAAAAAAAAAAAAAAAAAATGCATGTTTTTTATGCCCTCAATTCTATCACCATAAGAACCCAGATTATATCAAAATGGAATCATAATTGAAACCATTGGGGTTTTGGGAAATACATAGAAACTACGGCTGCTTTTGGTTCAGTATTTTTATTCGTATTCTGGACCGGATTTAACAAATAACGTTTGGTGGCTTATTTTCACAATGTGATCTTCAAAATATTTTCCTGACAGCTTTTCTGACCTTTTTTTTTAACCGTTGAAGGTTTGCAGTCTGCTTTTATTTTTCTCAATTTTATTCACTGCTTCTTCACTGACATTTCACACTTTCTCACTTCGCCATTTGACTTTCTCAGTTCACCATTACCAGCGTGCTTCACCATTTCACAAATATCAAGGTCAAATTATTTATAAAAAAATATATAAATCAAATATTCAACACAAATATCAAGGTTAAAATACTCAACC